TTAATCCTAACCAGAACATTAACTAATGAGACGGTATTAATCCTAACCAGAACATTAACTAATGAGACGGTATTAATCCTAACCAGAACATTAACTATTGAGACGGTAATAATCCTAACCAGAACATTAACTAATGAGACGGTAATAATCCTAACCAGAACATTAACTAATGAGACAGTAATAACCCAAAAGGTGCAGTCATACTAGCGCTAAAAATATTCAGGTTCTTCACAGAGTTGTGCAAAAATGGGAATGACTGTATAATACAGTATACCGTGGTAGTTTGGGTATACCACAATATTTTCATTCTGCTAATGAATAATGTTGCTTTTGAAAATATGTGAAGATAAGAGAGAAGCATGCCAGCTAGCGATATTATAAACATGCATTAACAAAACTGCTACAAGTACACACTGCCAGTTTAAAGGGTTAAATGTACCAGTAAGTACTTGTCATAACCATACAAATGCATTCTTCTCCCACAGTTTTCTATTATTAAAAAATGTTCTTGTCATAACGATGCAAATGTGCATCAAATAAATGTCCTCCTCCGTTGCACTTCTGTGAAACTGAAGGGTCAGCCCCCCCCATACCACACCAGATTGGTTTAGCAATGTGAATTTGTGGATCAAAGTTCATTCAAGGGCGTGCTCTCACTTGGCCCAAGTGCCTAGTATCGTGTCTGAGCATGGTTGTCCCCCCTCCCTACTGGTCTGCGCTCACATTGTGCTTAAAATTCCAGACCTGAGTGCACTTTTATCACCTCTGTGCGGCGTTTGGTGTCAAAGAAAACAGAAAGAAAAGCGCTACTGCAGAGCACAACATGTACTTCATGACTGATGTCCTTATTTTGTGGCTTATTTGGGGTCATTTTGGGCACGATGACACACAGGCCTCATAAATTCATCAGTAGGCAAGCAGCGATTTTCATGTAATCACGCTGTATGAAGATGTTTCGGTATTTTACTCAGAGTTTTGTATGTTGCACCCAGTTGTTTCTCGATACTCTCGTCAGCCCAAATTTCCAGCAAACACTGTACATCTGCCGTAGACCAAAGTGACCCATATGCTGCCGTGTTTAAGTTTTTCTTTAAATAACAAGCGTAAAAAATCTGTCTGGACGCCGGCTTTTCAGTACTATACGCCTAAAATACTAAGAAGAAGTGAATTGTGATGTCCAAAATTTGCTGCATCCTTGTGTTTATTAAATTTAGTTAGTGGAGCATGCCAGAAGCCGCTTTGGTATATCATGAAGAAAATAAGGAAGTAGTAGGGAAGAAAGGACTTTAGGGGTCAGTTGTGCTCGGGTGCGGTATGGATCACACCCTAAATGTGCTCTTTGCAAAAAAAACACGCTGCAAATTTGCTGTGCTTCTGGAAGTAAACTTTCTGCTTGTCACGTCAAGCAGCTGGAATTTAATAACACAAACCCCATCATTAGTGAGACAGTAATATTGCTATCTCTGTCATTAATGAGAGAGCATTACCCCAAACGCGAACGCGGACTCCTCTGATTTCTGCGTCTTCTCATTGCCCCTGGTCACTCGAGCCTCCAGCCCTCCTAATGTCCCAGGGCTCGATCCAAAAGCACGTGACCTCCCGCGGAACATGCCGTGCAGTCAGGTTAATTGTGATCCGCTCCTTGCTGACGGCCCGGCTGGATCTGCTCGCCTGATCCGTCTGTTCGACCTGAGCAGGTGGACTCTGAATCAGGCCGTCATGTGTGGGTTACACACAGGCTGCTCCAGCACCCGTCAGTCACCCACGCAGTGCCTACGCGCTGGAATGTGTCACGAATTAATCATCCCAAAGATGCTGTGAGCCACACACACCCACACAGACCATCGCCACGGCACCAGCTGAATCCCGCGTCCATCCTGCTCCTCTGCTTTCTCCCTATCAGTCGCCTACAGGCGCTTAGGGTCAGAGAAGGTCCCTTTGTTGATGGGGTCCAGCTGATCGACACCCCGCTGCGTAACCAAGGGCACCGATGGGCAAATGCCCTTGTCAAGGCACTGTGCTCCCCAGAGATTTTCCAGCTCAGCATTACAGTCTTCTCAGCTGCTGCTGTCTCTCTCCATACTGTATATATATCACCTAAATCACATGGGTCCTCCAAACTCCAGCCACCCCACACAACCCGAGTCAGTCTGTCTCGTTCCGGAGGTCGTCAGGGAGACAGTGCTCACCTCATCCCGGAGGTCGTCAGGGAGACCGTGCTCACCTCATCCCGGAGGTCGTCAGGGAGACAGTGCTCACCTCATCCCGGAGGTCGTCAGGGAGACCGTGCTCACCTCATCCCGGAGGTCGTCAGGG